CATACTCTCAGTCTGCCCTTCCCACTCCCCCGTCCCCCCCTGGCAATCACAAGTTTGTATTCTATGTCTATGAGTCTGTTTCTGTTTTGTATTTTTTTTAGATTCCGCATATGGGTGATCTCATATGGTATTTTTCTTTTGCCTTCTGGCTTACTTCACTTAGAATGACATTCTCCAGTAACATCCATGTTGCTGCAAATGGCATTATGTTGTCAGTTTTTATGGCTGAATAGTATTCCATTGTAGAAATATACCACATCTTCTTTATCGTAAGGTTCCTACTCTTAAAGCTGCTTTCCACTTTTAGGAATCAAGATTCCATTATTTGCAGATTTGTGTTCGTGAACATGTTTTTTCCCTTTGCTCCATGAACACAATGAGTTCATTAGGCTAAAGGAGAGCATCACTTTTGTCTTCTCCACAAAGCCCAAATACCAACTTTCTTTTACTCCACATTCCTTAATACTTTCAATGTAAATTTAAAATCAAAATCAAACAGATAAAAACCTGATTGACTCAATCTACTTGGCTCCCTCTCACTGGCTCGTTATAACAACGGGAACAGCAGGGACAAGGGTCCTTCCCAGTGGCTTTTAACATGGGGAGGGTACCTGCTTCCACTTATCTTATGCTTGCTAAGACCAGCTTGTAGCTATATCCGTGAAAGAACTTTCTCCTTTGCTTTCCCTCCCTCCCTTTCTTACTATGATGGCTTTCATCTTCATCCTCTTCATCTCGGTACTGAATGGGACCTTCTGAATCAGAGTCACTCTCCTTCTCTTCCTCTTCCTCCTGCAGACGCTGTGGTGGTTTAGGAACGACGGAGGTAGATGTTACTTCCTCATCAAATGCAAACAGGTGGATTTGCTCCTCTTCTTCTTCATCGTCTGGACTAACAAATTAACATAATTACATTTTCCTTTCAGAGACATAAAGAATAACTGATTTGCAAGGCAAAGTACCGAAAAACTATGAAAAGGTCCATGAGTGAAATAATTATAGTTCCTTCCCTTAACTTTTACAATCATGCTGAGAAACTTTTTAGCAGCTATTAATCTAAAGGGCTCTGAGTTCAAATCCCAGCTCTACAATGTATTTAGTAGCTTGTAAGTTACTTAACTCTTCTGTAGATGGGAATAATACCTACCTTGTTGGCTTGTTGTGAGGATGAAACAGACAAATTCTAGAATGCACTAGTGCCTGGCAAACAGGGCCCTGAAGATCTATACATAAGACTGAAGTTTGCTTTGGTCTGATTAAATGAGAAGACTACTTTGTTCATGGGAAAAACTCAATAAAAATACTTAACCCATTTCTCTTTGGTTTAACAATGAAGTAGGACAGAATGATAATCTAAAACAAGGAAGCAAAGAGAAGTAAAGATGAAAACTAACTTCTCCCCTTTGCACTCGGGAGGCATAAACCTGACTTAGTCTACTTAAAACTCCTGAACTGTCTCTTCCCAAGATGTGAAATAAGTAATACCAGCAAAACAAATAAAAAGTAAGATGCTGCAATAGCTCTGTAACAATTCTTTTAGTTAGTAAAACAAATTTCCAACTTGCCAAAAGGTATTAATCTTCAGTCACAATTTGTCTGGATTTTAAGAACACCAACAAAGTAGGTAGAAGTACCAGTGCTACTGTGAACAGATTCAGAGTTTGGGGACAGATGTGGGAAACAAGATGACCAGCGCCAGTCTAGGGGGCTGGAATACTGACCTATCTTTCAGAGCTCCCTTCTTTTTCTCTAGGCTTCTCTCTCTCCCTCTCTACCAAGTTGTGTGCCAGGCACTAGTGCTTTCAGATTTGTCTAATTTCATTCTCACGCCTGTGAGATAGGTATTATTCCTGTCTGCAGGTTAGACAACAGAAGAGCAGGTTAAGTAACAGACACTACTGTAAGCTAGTAAATAAGAGGCAGAACTGGCGTTTGAACCCCGAACTATCTTACTCCAAGGTCAACGTTCTTAAGCATCATGTTCCACTGCTTCCCTTATATCATATAAAAATATACAGTGGTTTTAATTTTCAAGTACAGAAGCTTGTAATTTCTTTTTATCATCATGGACATTTCTGCCATAGAAACAATGCTATAGAAATCAGGAGGGTAAAAAAGTCCAAATTCAAGAACATGTCCTACTTACTAAGCATTCTTAATTTAAATGTATTCATTTTCTCTTTATAAGTAATTTTTTCTAAGAAGGACTACCCAGAGTAGAGAAGAGGGAACAAGAGGCAAGCTTTAAAGGCACTCACACTTTTAGCATTTCAATAGTGATGGGAAGTGACCTGGTCCGACCCAGGGTACCGCTGTCCTCAGAAAAGTTGTCACTGTTCTCGAAGAGCAATGAATGAGCTCTATGAGAGCCTTCCAAGGGAGGAGTCATGGGGAGCGGGCTGGTCAGGGCCTGCTGGATTCGGATATGCAGTGGGAGTGGGGGAAGCCTAGGGGGTACATGAGGCTCCCCAAAACTGTGGTCCAACATCCTCTTGGGCACTTCCTTTTTCTGATTTTCCTGCTGGGGAACCTCCTGGGATAGGTCTAAGGAAGGCAGAAACTCAATTTCTGGCACAACTTGAAAAGTCTTAGCAGGGAATGGAGGGGACCGAGGGGGTTCTGGAGGTATATGAGTAGGCAGTGGGGGGGAGGGGGAGGAAGGGGGGATTGTCAGCAGTGGCTCGGAACCCACAGAGCAAGTGCTCTTCTCTCTCTGATCACTTGGTGCTTTTGTGGTGGTGGCAGCAGCAGCGGCAGACTCTGAGGTGGGTACCAAGGTTGATGGAATGCCTCTCTTAGGTGGTAAAGGTGGGGATGGTTTTGATAACAACGTACCACTGTTTATTGCCTGGGACAGTTCAGCTGGAAAAGAGAAAGCAACACCTCAATTTAAGATGGCTTTTCAGTGCTTTGAGGGGCCAGCCCACAGCCTAGAATTAGAGCTGAGCTCACTCTTAATCTTTCAGGCTAATTAGAACATTTCATGGCTTTGCCATTCCCTAGCTAGCTCATCCTGAAACAAAATTTACATTTGAATATCTAGAAGGCCTAATAAATGTACAGCAGTTTAGGAAAACCACTACCTTAATATTCTGATGAGACATTTCTTGCTTCTTTACTATGACAATAGCTATGACAACTTTGTATAACTTGATATTGGTATAGATAAGGTTAATGTGAATAGAGATAGAAAAAATGTGGCTAAGTTATTTTGTCTAACAGTATTCCATTAAAAAATTTAAACATGCAGATAGAAATAAAAAAACAAATACTACCAGGCATTGCTATCATATCCTGATAAATAATGATACCTAGATATCTCAGCTCTGTATTATTAAACCACCAATAATGACACCTTGGATTTTTATAGCAAATGCAAAGGACTTTGAAGAAATCATAGTGCTTGTCTATCTTTGACTTCATAATATTCTTTTTATACAAGGGTCATCTTTACCATTTTACAGAAGGAAAAACTGAGGCCATGGAAGTTAGGTGACTTGCCCAAGATCATACTACAAAATGGCAAGGACTCAGCTAATTCCCAGGACTCATTATACAGTTCCATCCTCTGGATCCCACTGACTTTATTTTTATTAGTGTCCAGGCCTCTTGGTGTCCTTTATGCCCAACCTGCCATTTCCACTCTCCACTACACTAAGGGCTCCTTGATGGCAGGGCAACTGTTGTCTCTATCATCATATTCACAGGGTGGGGCACAGTGTCTGGCATATAATGGGCCCTCAATACATGTTTATTAGATGAGAGGCCCCTACCCTGTGTCATGACAATATATATCCCTATGTGATTCCCCCAAAGCCCCAGACTCCGGTGCTGATTCAGCAAAGTCCCTTTGGAGAGCTCAAAATGGCTTTTAAGAAGTGGATCATCACATCACAAAAGGTCAGTCTTCCAAAATAAATAGTAGTTCTCTTGGTTGCCAATCTCTAATCCTCTACCCAAATCCCTCACATTGGTCCCACAAATTGTTTTCAAAGGTTTTATGTCTTACTTAGAGAGCAGCACCTCCTTTCCCTAAAATGAAAACTTAATTGCCCTAAATCCCATTCCATTGGCAGCATTCAAAGTGAAAGTCTAGCTAACCTAGTAATATTTTAATGTCACTCTTTGTAAGCAAGGGCTTTCTAGAAAAATATTGCATACACACAAAAAAAAGATTTAAAAAATGTGAATTTTAGGATCAATGAAAGAGATACTTTTTAGTAGACTAGATTTTTGCTGTCTGCCTAAAAATAGCAGTTAGCTATTCAATCTACAATAAAACCCACACCTGAAAGACCAAATTTGAATATTTTAATGTTTGAATTGATAAAGTAAATCAGCTTGGATAATTTAAGTAAAACATATAGCTGAAGTTGGTAAGGAAGTAACCTCTGGTATACAAACCCTGACGATGGCACTTGGCTGTAGTTCTGTGGGAAAGATGCCAGAATGTTTGCTGGAGGGGTTACAAATTCCCTTCATCTGTTCAGTTATTTATGGTGGTCCTTCCTTAGGCCTAACACTCCTAATTAGTCCTTAGTCCTACTACTATGCCTGTTAGTAGACAGAACAATGTCTAAAGCAATGGTTTCCAAATGTTTGGATTTCACAGACCAATACAGTTAAATAGAAATTCTCAACCAACTACAGGTTGTCAATTTTTATTATTTTCAAGTAAAGCTTGATATTCAGTAAACCACTTATGAACATAATCATTTCATGAAAGAAATGGTCTTTTAACACCAAAGAATTAGGAAGGTCATAATTTCAGAATAAAGGATAGTTCTTTAAATCAAATCTATTTAACCTTAATAAAAGCTGTGTGAACTGTCCTATTTTTCTTTCTGCTGAGGACTACTCATGATCTGACGTTGATCCCTCAGTCACTGGGCCTATTGCTTTGGGATAGTCACCTGAGGCGAGGAGTGAATTCTGCAAGTCAGCCCAGGATACAGTACACATGTTATCACTTTTTAATGTTGTCTTACCCCCAAAAGGGTAGATTACTACTGGTTTAGAGCAGTGGTTCTCGTTGTGGTTCCTATATAAGCAGCATCAGCATTATCTGGGAACTCATTAGAAATGCAAATTCTCGGGCACTACCGCAAACTTACAGAATCAAAAACTCTAAGGGCAGAGCCCAGCACTCTGTGTTCATTAACAAGCCCTCCAGGTGATCATGAGGAGAACACCTGTCCACACAACAGACTGAGAACACAGGCACACAGGACAGAGGTCTGTACTGCAGAGGTGAAAAGCCTATGTTTGGTTTCTATCTCTCACTAACTGCAGCCCTGAGTGAATCACAACTTCACATTCTTACTGCTTTAACTATACAATAGATAAAGTAGATAAAACTTCACAAGGAGGTTTTGAAAATAAGTATATGAAACCTCCTTAATCTTCAGAGATAAGTCAACACAGTACTCCATCCAAAGGGTGATAATGATAATAACCTTCATCCTGTTTTTGTCAAGCTAATCCAACCTGTTTTACTCACAATGAAGTCTAAGCCTGTTTTTCTAGTCACTCCACACAATTTGGTTAAATTAGCCATTTAATGAGCATACTTTTTTATTTCTCCATTCAATCATTAACAAAAACTTTAAGCAGTTTACTAAGCTTAATATAATGTTTCCTAAAAAACTATCTTTTTTTCTGTTCTCCCTTTCTTGAAAATTCCTCTATATTTAAGAAAAGAAAATTAACCTAAATATGACATTAGGTAAATATAAAAAATTTACTAAACCAATAAAAATTTATGGGTTATCTTCATTCATTCATTCATTCATTCATTCATTCATTTATGGGTGTACTGGGGATTGAACCCAGGACCTCATGCATGTGCTCTATCACTCCTCTTCCACCACTTATTTCATTAAGAGTAGCATTCTTAACTCTCCCAAGATAAAACATGATTTCATCAGAACAATTTACATAATATCTTTTGCAGTTCCCCATGAAGATATTATGTCAGACACTGAATCATAAGTTACACTGGCATCTATACAATCATCTTTTTATCTACTGGGTTTGCTGAAGGAAGGCACTGGCAGTTTAAAGTAGGTTTAAAAAAAAAAACCTTTTCTCCATGTAGGTCAAACCCATCATGGTCTTCACAAGCCCAGTTCCCCAACTATAAAAAGTAGTTCAGAAACATTGTTTTAGGAAAATAAATATTAATTCCCTCAAACTTGAACCTAATTTTAGTGATCTCTGACCCCACCCTGTTACCATTCATAGCCATCTATCTACCTCATTTTCAAAACTTTTTTCCCTTATATTGATGGTATTGAAAGGGACAAGATATGGAGAACTCTCTCACAGACCAAACCAATACCGTACCAGTTATTCAACAAAACAACTATCTAAAACCAAACCAAACAAAACCAACAGAACTCTAAAGACTTACCAATGACAGGGTTGCTATTTCTGTGAGCTGGTTTAGGGGGAGGGATAGGGGGCTGCTTGGCAGGGACTGTATGGGTGAGGTTCGGGGTGGCAGTAGTGTTAGTGCTGGCAGGAGCAGCAGGAGTCCTGGGCACTTGAGAAGGGGGGACAGAGGAATGAACAGTTTTTGCCAGGTTCGTAGCAGCCGTAGTGGCAGCAGGTACTGTGGTGATGGCGGTTGTGGAGGTGGAGGAGATGGGTCTTGCTGTGCTGCCAGAGGAAGTGGCGTCCTTTGCTTGCCCTTCATTTGCCTCATGAGAAGAAGACAAGTGTCTTTTAGGGGGAAGTAGAGGCTGTTTGGTTACATTCTCAGGAATGGACTGTGCTTCAGAATTAGGCTGGCTTCCAGTCGAGCCTGTGTAATAACAGATGTGATTTAAGAGAGGAGAGAGTTACAAGACAGCCTGAAAAACCTAACACCTCTACATCTACAGTCAACTTCATCCCTTATTTAACTTACAGATAAGTTTAGAGGCAAAGTTTCTCAACTTCAACATACTTAAGGTATATGACAGTTTCTCAATCAGTAAGAGAGGCTTGTTATGGTAGTGATTCTTTACACGAGAGCCGGGCAACTAGACAGAGTCCCTTGGGTGGAGGAGGAGGAATGTGAAGCTTGAAAAAGTCCTATAGGTGTATCTGATATTTAACATCCTTTTTCACCCTTGAGAATCACAAATTTAGGCATTTTGTGAATGCAAGAATCGGGAAAATTCTACTTAAATCCAGTTTCTTACCTAGCCGCTTCTTTGGGTCCTCTTCTGGAATAGATTTCCTAAGATTTGCTGTTCTTCCTGGCTCTTCCTCTGCTTGGACTGGACTGGAAGATCTGGCACTGCCTATGGGGGTGGTATGGCCATTCTTTAGCATGGCATGGCTCAACTTCCCTGGATCCTCACCACCTGCAAGGTCCAAAAAAGAGGAAATTGATGGACCAGCATGGTCAGATAGGGAGAAAAGTCAGCAATTTCTTTTTCTTTCTTTTATTTTTTTAAATTAGTGTTCTTTTTTTTTTTAACTTTTTTTATTGAGTTATAGTCATTTTACAATGTTGTGTCAAATTCCAGTGTAGAGCACAATTTTTCAGTTATACATGAACATACATATATTCATTGTCACATTTTTTTTTTGCTGTGAGCTACCACAAGATCTTGTATATATAGTCAGCAATTTCTAAGCTTTCCTGTTTTAGCTTATTATTTAGATCTAAATTATTTGGATTTTATGGTAGTAATAGAAATAAGTAATTATTTTTTTCAATAAACATTTGACTGTCTATTATGTGCCAGGTATCCTGCTATATGAATAACACAGATTTAGGATACATAAATAATTACAATGTTAAATGTTAAGAGCTATAATGAATGAAGTGCTATGGTAGGAATGAAGAAACAATTATCTTGGGCGGGGGGATGGGGTTAGAAAAGCTTTACAGAAAGTGGTAGCAAAACTGGATCTTAAAAGGGGAGAAGAAGCCTACCACTCAATGACAAGTTGAGGAAAGACTGTAGGAAGAAGGAATAGCAAGTATGAAGGTGTGAAATTATTCAACATGTTTGGGAAATAACAACCAGTTTGGCCTGGCAGGAGACTCGATATACATAAGAAATAGTTCTGGATAGGACTGTAAAGACAAGCAAGAGTCAGGCTATGAAGGGTACCAAATACCATGTAAAAGAGCCTGGACTAATTCCTGTAGGTAACAGGAAGCCAAAAATTAAAGTAGGAGAGAGACGATATATTTTTAAAATTTGGCTTTCAGATTTTATTTAATGCAAAGTAGCTCTAATGAAGAGAAATGAAATGCAACCAATGTACTATAGTCTTACTCTTCTGATATACTGCTTCATAAAAGTCATACATATCTTGTAATAACCTTTAATGAAAAAGGATATGAAAACAAATATATATATACGTGTATATGCATGACTGGGATAGTGTGCTGTACACCAGAAATTGACACATTGTGACTGACTGTACTTCAATTAAAAAAAAAAGTCATACATCAGAGAAAGTATTGACATTATTGAACCAACAATGAGTGCTGAAATACCAAAACACGATCTTTAAGACAGTCAGACAAGATTAGGACAGTAATAGAGGCCTGGAGACAAATTTGGTTTAAAAAAAAGGAAATGACACAGTATGTAGCTGGTACAAAGCTGAGAATGTATAGAGAAAGAGTATGTTTGCCTCAAAGATCCTTCAGTAACTACTCAATTTCAGTTCCAGAGTTAAAGACCACAGCCAGACAAGGTAGGCTCTCGGAAGGAAAGGTGAAGGAAGTTTCTTTTTAACTCAGCGAAAAAATGGACTTTAATATAGGAAATTAGGAGGTAATTATTGCAAAGAAAATCATTCATGATTACCCTTAAGTTCTAATTCCTTAAAAATAATCAATTATTCTCACTTATGTTTTAATATTTTCTCATCATTAGATATTTTCATTCCCACAAAAAAAATACGTCCATTTATATGCAACAGAGGAGTGGGGAAGTGGGAGGTACAAACTATTGGGTGTAAGATAGGCTCAAGGATGTATTGTACAACACAAGGAATACAGCCAATATTTTGTAATAACCATAAATGAAAACTTAAAAAGTTGTATAAAAAAATACATGCCTTCTTTGAATAAATCAAATATAGATGGTATGGCACTGAATTCTATAGAAATATCCTATCATTATGTAGTTTTTTTTCACTGACAAGTTTAACATCAGAAAAAATGTACAAAATAGAAATGTAGATTTCAAAGACATATTACAAGAATAACACTTGTGTGATCATTACAGACATTAAGAAGTAAGATGTTTCCAGACCTCTGAAGCCTCCCTCTCTCCCTCGTTAACATACCTCTCCTTCCCCCTCAAAGCAATCCATCACTCTCCTCTTATGCTTATCCTTTCTTTGTGTTTTTATTACAGTGTAATCACATAAACATGCATCTCCAAACACTGTTTTTCTTCATAGTTATGAAATGATACAATATATAGTCTTTCCTGACTGACTTCAATTGCTCAGTATTACTTATGAGATTCATATTAAAGCATGTAGGTTTAGTTTGTTTTCATTGTTATATAATATTTCATGCTAATAAATGTATCACAAGTTATTTATATATTTTACTATTGATGGACATTTGGGTTGTTTCCAATTTTGCTCAACTGTTAATAAATATTGCTGCTATTAGCATGTATACACATTTTTGTTGGGTATACATCAAAGACTGTACATAGGTTTACGTATCTCCAGCTTTCATAGAGTATGCTGAACTATGTTTCAAGGTGGTAATTCCACTTTAATACTTCCACCAACAGCTGTATATGACTTCTGCTTATTTCACACCCTCATCAACTCTTGCCCTTTGTCGTTTGATTAATTTTAGGTTTTCTAGTTTATTTGTAGAGGTATTTTATTTTGGCTTTAACGTGTATACCTTCATTACTAAGAAGCAAAAAAAAAAAATACACCTCATTGTGTATTGGACATTTGTATGTACTCTTCAGTGAACTGTTCAATGCTTTTGAAGACTTTCCTATTGCACTGTCTTCTTTTTTTTTTAATAAAAGCCTTAAAAATATATATGCTAGATGCATGAACAGTTTTATTTTTTAAGCCCAACTCCCTCTAAACAATAGCAAGTAATAAAGAAAGAAAATTCAAATACCTAGTGAGAACCAAAGATCAAGTGTACAGAGATAGGCATTAGCTATTTATTTGCGAACTCACCCTGCTCACAGTCTTCCAACAGAACCCCTCTTTTAACCAGTTCTTCTCTTGGTTTTCGCATAGATATTTTTCGCTCTAAAACTAACAGTAAATTGGAAAACACTCAGAAATGTGGTAGATAAAGGTCAACTTTAAGTATTCTAACTCCTCAGGTTAAAAGCATAAAGTGGTTCAATTTTCTATTCTTAGGAAAGAACACAAAAACTAACTTGAAATTAAAAAAACTTAATTTCTTTTAAACCCTGTACTATTAGGAAAATATTATTTTCAAAAGAAACTATCCTTTTATAAGTTTAGCTTTTTCTCTTTTAATTGAAATTTCAATAATAAGGTATTCATAAATGAACTTTTTCTGGGAGGAAGTGGCCAGAGTAGAAAAAAGAAGCATCTTAGATTCACTATTGTTCAGGAGCTCCATTCACCACTCAGTTGATAAACATTAATCCCATCAAAATATAGGATATAAGGCTTAATGAATGATCACTTGGTTTTTTAATTCTAAAAGATTCAATTCCCTCTTCAAATAGGGGGTTATAGAAACTTGGGAAGAGAATGAAAAAATTAGGTACTTCCAAAATGGGGAACTCTTTAACTCAGAACATATATTTAAATTTTAACATCTTACCTTCTGATGTCTCTTTGAATTTATCACTTTTTTTTTTCCGCCATTTCCAGGGCTTGAAGATCTTGCCAAAGCCTGAGAACTTACTCTTCCTTTTGGTAGGAGGTGTTGTGTCTCCAGCTTCCACACTGTCCATGACCATGCCTGGGTCTGCAACAGGCTGGCCTGCTTCTTCTGTTGCATGGTGAGAGGGAGAGAGGCAAGAGAACAGCTAATTTATTATTTCAGAATAATCTCGAAAATGTCCCTTCCCCTCTCTTCCTGTAGTAGTTGGAAAGGATCAGAGCAATGATAAATAATCATGCAGACAGACTCCTGGACATCACATGGACACCAAACACCAAAATCCATAACAGAAAAATTACTAAGGAGCTGATATCATTTTAGGACAAAAATTCAATGAGATGATTGTAACCAGCTCAAATCTCTTAAAGGTACATACACACACACAATGTGGATGTCTTCCCAGTATGCATGAGATCTTGCCCCAGTGTAGGCTACTTCTGTTGCCATTCTCATTCTCTGGGCATGGGGAAAGGCCTTTCTCAGCTCACATCATTGTCTCTTGTGTCACTGAAGCAGAGAGTTCCACCGCTGGTGAGTGAGTCATTATTCTCTGTTAATCACTGCCCTCTCCCTGCCCTCTTTTTTGAGGATATGACTAGTTCAGGGAGGGGTAACACTTTAAGTATTAACACCTTACTTGTATATGTTTATCAGATTATTATCTCCCTTTGCAAAAAAGACCCTAGGTAGTTTGGAGTACGGGAAGGTGCTATGGGTGGGGAGGCAGGGGTATTAGAAAGAGAGTGCTTCAAACAAAGGGACATTTTTTTTTTTGGAGAGATAAGATTTCATTTCATTTACTGCAGTGTTGCATTAAGGGCAATCCTGATTCTAAAGATTTGACAAGAAACATAACTGACATGGTAAATGTGCAGGATCAAAATGAAAGGCTATGAGTCCCTCATGCAGGGTTTAGTTAGTTAGCTTTAGTGGCACGGAAAGGAGCAGCCAAGACTGGGCCAAGAGTAATTTTCTAAAAAAGCAGGAAGGCAACAAAAAAAGCAGGAAAGCAACACAATACAACTTTGCACTCCACCTACTGTCCCAGGGTTCTTTGGAGAAGTCTAGAGGAGAAGAAAAAAAGAGTCATGTGGAATAACAATCCTGGAATTATCAAGGATCATATCCTGTATAATTGCCTGTAATAAGTGAATATATTTATTGTAAACAATTTCACATTCGAAGCAAATAATGCTTTTGGAGGCTGGGGGGATAAGAGGGCATAATATATGCACTACAAGATTCTTAATTCATTAGTTTTTTTTCATAAGAGAAAATACACAATCAAGAGGCATTTTTTTTAAAGAAACATTTGCCAAATTCCATCTTTTTTTAGTTGATAGACGTGAGTCTAGGGGAGTCTGTTGATAAAGATCAGGGATACACAATCATAATAATCAGAGTGACTGCAGCAATAACTACTGATACATTACTTTGCTGTGTCTAGATGACTTAGACAAAACAGGGTTCTGGTTCCTGAAGTGCAACAGATGACGATGACAGAGAAGAGTGACTCTTTTCTTTACTTGTGGGCATCTTGGGTCTCAGCTACCTTAATTCTTTACATAAAATGCAATAGACTATAACACTGGATCACCTTTTTAAAGTATAGTTGCTAGAGACATTAGAAGAACTCCTGCAAAACAAGTTCCCCTCCACAGTACCCTGGGATGGACCACCAAGAGTGGCACCAGGGTGAACACACGGTATTGCTTTCAAGAGTGAGTGCTTTCCCTCTTGGGGAGTGATGGAAATGTTATCTATCTTGTGGTAGTGGTTTCATTGGTGTATACATTTATCAAAATTCATCAAATTGTACATTTGAAATATGTATAGTTTACTGTACAGGAATCATACCCCAATAAAGGTGTTAAAAAAAAGTAAAAAAAAAAAGAGTGCTTTCACTAAGACAGTATTTTACCAATTATGGAATATCAATGAGAATTGAAGACATTTCAGAGCATTCATGATATCATAATATTTAACATGTTAATGATAACAATTTCAGAAATGGAACTAAGTAGCATAAGCTATTCATTCTCATACAGTAGCCTTTCTTACAGAGGCAAGGAGGGATTGAAACTTTAAATCTCCTGCTAACCCTCCCACTGAGTGAAACTCAGTTCCAAAAGACATGAAAGGAAAATCTCCTGCTAACCCACCCACTGACTGAACTTCACTCAGTTCCAAAAGACACATAGGAAAATGCCTGTTTGGTTAAAAGTGATAGGGAAAGGGGGAGGGTAGTAGCTCAGTGGTAGAATGCCTACTTAGCATGCATGAGGTCCTGGGTTTGATCCCCAGTACCTCTGTTAAAAAAAGATAAGTAAGTAAAAGTAAACCCAATTGCCCCCCCACCGAAAAAAAAAAAAGTAATAGCAAAGATAATATAAAAATAAAACAAACCCCCGAAACCAAACCAACCCAAAAACAAACAAACAAAAAAACCCAAACTAACAATATGAAAGTAAGGTTCTTAGTGCTATGTGATGCTTTTACAAAGAAAAATAGCCAAATAGCTACAGGAATCTTAGATGATAACATATTCACAGAAAAGTTCCTGTCTGTGAAGTCCTTAAATGAAGTATATCCAATCTAGTCTGCTTTCACTCTTTTCTCAGCGATTTAACCACTTTCTAATGTAGGACTTGGGACAGCCACATGTAAGTCAATGAAGTTAGAATATTCCCTCATACCATACACAAAAATAAACTCAAAATGGCTTAGAGATTTAAACATAAGACAGGACACCATAAATCTAGAAGAGAACATAGGCAACACATTCTCTGACAGAAATTGTAGCAATATTTTCTGAGGTTAGTCTCCCAAGGGAACAGAAATAAGGCAAAAATAAACAAATGGGACCTAATCAAACTTCTAAGCTTTTTCACAGCAAAGGAAATTATAAACAAAATGAAAAGACAAACTATGAACTGGGAGAAAATATTTGCAAATGATGCAATTGACAAGGACAATCTCCAGGATATACAAACAGCTCATACAACTCGGTAACAAAAAACCAAATAACCCAATCAAAAATGGGAAGAAAACCTAAATAGACATTTTTCCAAAGAATACATACAGATGGCCAATAGGCATATGAAAAGATGCTCCATATCACTAATTATCAGAGAAATGCAAATCAAAACTACAATGAGATATTACCTCATACTGGTCAGAATGGCCATCATTAATAAGTCTACAAACGATAAATGCTGGAAAGGGTGTAGAGAAAAGGGAACCCTCCTGCACTTTCAGTGGGAATGTAATTTGGTGCAGCCACTATGGAAAACAGTATGGAGTTTCCTTAAAAAACTAAAAATAAGAGTTACCAAATGATCCAGCAATCCCACTCCTCGGCATGTATCTGGAGAAAACTCTAACTTGAAAAGATACATGTACCCCAATGTTCAAAGCAGCACTATTTACAATAGCCAAGACATAGAAGCAACCTAAATGTCCATTGACAGATGAATTGATAAAGAAAATGTAGTTTATATACACAATGGAGTACTACTCAGCCATAAAAAGAATGAAATAATGCCACTTATGGCAATATGGATGGACCTAGAGAGTATCACACTAAGTGAAGTTAAGTCAGAGAAAGACAACTATCATATATACTTATATGTGGAATCTAAAAAAGATGATACAGGGGGAAAGGGTATAGCTCAAGTGGTAGAGCACAAGCTTAGCACACAAAAGGTCCTGGGTTCAATCCCCAGTACCTCCTCTAAAAATAAATAAGTAAACCTGACTACCTCTCCCCACCACTAAAAAAATAAATAAATAAATAAAAGACATAAAAAAAATAAAAATAATAAAAAAAGATGATGCAAATGAACTTATTTATAAAATAGAGACTCACAGAAAACAATTTTATTTTTACCAAACGGGAAAGGGGGTGGCGAGGGATAAATTAGGAGTTTGGGAATATCAGACACAAACTACTATATACAAAATAAACAACAAGGTCCTGATGTGTAGCACAGGAAACTACATTCAATATCTTGTAATAAACTACAATGAAAAAGAGTATATGTGTATAACTGAATCTCTATGATTATGTAAAGAAAGTCACTGAATACAAAAAGCAAAGAGTAGTTTTTTTCTTTGATGCTTTATGCAAATGTGCTTAATTTTCATGTTGATAAACCTTTCAGAAGGGAGTATGTCTCCTGCATCATGCAGTGGGGTTCAGCCACACCCAGCCTGATCCCAAATCCATTCATTCATATTCTGATGACAAACAGAACATTATTTCTGTGACTCCCAAATCTGCTGAAATACTTGGAATCAGCCCAGTTGCCTTTTCAAAACATGGAATCTCCAGGAGGTGGGACCAAGAAATCTGTTTACAAAAATTTTCCCAGGCGATTCTTAATGATCAGTCAAGTTTGTTAAATTCAATCCCAGATTATTATCTGGAAATCTTATGCATGTTAAAAGAGACAGAGATAGACATTCTCTGCATGTAACCTAATTCTCTGTTGATGAAAAATAAACTAGGAAATCACAGCAACATTCCGGTGTTTCCTACTCAAGTATTCCTATAGAATTGTAAGGATCTTTTCTGTGTTTCCTAGTCTCAGGTAGAGTTTAAATTAAAAATAAATTAGAATTTACACTTATATTTCCCCTAGATTTATAAGATATGTTTCATGTGCACTTGGGAAGAAAGTATTGTGCAGTTAATGAGTGTAGGGTTCTATTATACGCCAATCACGCCAAGTTGGTTAATCATGTTGTACAAACCATTAAATCCTTTCTGATTTGTTGCAGCTTGTTTTATCAGTTACTAAGAGAGGTATGTTAATATTTCTATCTATGAAAGTGGATCTGTCTCTTTCTCTATTTAGTTCTATTAATTTTTGCTTTATATACTTGGTAGATATGTTACTAGGTACACACAGATTTAGAGTTATATCTTCCTGTTGACTTGACCCTTTCATAATTAGGAAATTCCCTATATTGCTCTAATAAAACTTTTGCCTTATTTTTTTCTCTCTAGTTTTCAATTGTTGTCTTTTGTCAATATTTAGTCAATTTATATTTAATGCTTTTACTGACACAGCTGCGTTTAAAAGTCTACCATTTTCTATTCATTT